GGTAGTACCGTGACAGAGAAGGTGGCCCGTACAAGTACAGCCACGCCCCCATAGCCTCTCTTCAGTCGGCTCGAGTCTGGCCGATCGGCTCGGTGAAGGCTATAGCCGTCTATATTCAACAAGCGATTGGGAACGGTCGGCACCAGCCACGTCTCGCTGAGCGCCAAGAGGTCATAGTCGAATATCTCTGGAATGTCGTGACGCAGCTCGGGGAGCCGTGGTTTCAGCGACTGGCAGTTGATCTGACCGATGAAAAGGTCGTCAGACTGCTCTCGCCGCCACCTGACTCCGCCCCTGCGTCCTCGGTAGTTGGAGCGCCGGTGCCTTTTCGATCCTGGGCGCGCCCCTGTCTGCTGACCGTTCAGCTCCGGCGCGTGACCAGCGGAGTCGGCCGGCCAGCTGGCAGGCTGGGTAGAGCGGTGCACAGTGGTTGTCGGACGCGCGGGAGCGTCGTCCGACAACCACTGTGTAATGGGGAGGTCGCAAAATTGACCTGACCTTAGGTCATCGATATCAAAATTCTGAGAAATACATTTTGTACATACTGTTGTTCTTAGCAATCCCTGAAAGTTTCGAACCGATCGGTCACTCGGTGTAGTTATGGCAGACATTGAAACTTTTTATGAGGTGGGGTCTCTTCAAGTGACCTGGTGACCTGACTTTAAATGGCCTTGGTCTGTAATTTTTACATGTGTAGAATTGATGTATGATAAGGTGTGCCAAAAACGGCGGCGCTCGGCGCCGCCGTTTTTTAGATATTTGCGAAAAACCACGGGGGGGTGTTCAAACACCCCCCCCCCCCCAGCAGGGCGCGGGTTAAGTATCACGATCAACTAAAATATATGCAAGATAACAGCCAAAGCCGCCAGTATCTAGGAAACACTCGGAGACAGTTTTACAAAACGTGGGAACATGATAGTTGCAAAAGTGGATTGCAAAAGCCATGCCATGGTCCATTTGCATAATGCATACTTTTCGGGCGTTGATATATATATATTATGTCGTAAAGGAAAAGGGAGATAAATAATACATTAAAGACACACCTAGTCAGTAGGGGAGAGCGGGGCCAGTTGAACCACTTTTTATATATTGACATGCACAGCGAGATCTAGTTGTCATATCGAAAAATGCACAATGCCATGAAAAAATATGCTCTTTTGGCTTCATTTTAAGATATGTAAAATTATGTTTCAAACATATTTTGGTGCCAAACGCATGCTTATAAAACAGCTCTACGCCCGTTTCAAATGACCCCGATGCGAGGGTCAATTGAACCAGCCCATGGGGTCAATTGCACCTATCCTTAACAATGGGATGTTTTCCTCTTTAAGGCCACTTTCTTAAGGAGATATTTTGTCCGGTTTACTTTTCCAAATGCTACATTCAATAGGTCGTTGGAAAGCTAAAAGTGCAAAGTTCCTCATAATAGGTGACATAAAGTACATAGACTATGGTAAAATGGGCGGATGAGGATAATGAGAAATATCTCAGGCTATAGTGTGCTTTCAAGCAAAAGGCTGGAGAAAAAGAGGTAAAAAAAATGAGCTCTATTAATCTACTATTTCAGTTTAAAAGCTCATTTCAAAGGTGGACTATTTCCTTTAATGTTTACAGCCCCTGAACAATAACCATTGCAAAGGTCACCGGGGTCCATTGAAACGGCCTGTGGCCCTGTTTCAACTGACCCTCAGAGAAGCGTTTCAATTGACCCCATCCGCTCCCGCCATCTCGCACGCGCCGTAAAGCACATGTCAAACGAGCTGGAGGGACGACATCATGCTGAATGAAGGGCCAAATAAGGTGTTATTCCGGAGCCAGGAGTTCTTCTTTCAGCAAACAAAGGTATATGAGATATCACAAAATATTCATAAAAACGATTTCTCCCAAACGCCCCTCAAAAACACAAAAACAGGTGTCAAATCAAAATTACCGTCCGTTTGCCGCCCAAACGCCGTTGACAAAGGAAGTGGTCGAGCGCGGATGCGCAGTGGTGTCGGCAACGCCATATGTTGCATATTGTTGAAAATAAAGCCATGTTTCATCTGACCCCGTGTTTCAACTGGCTCCGCTCTCCCCTAGCTATTATCTAATATATTGCTATAGGAGACGGGGTATATAAACAATCATAAACTTGAACTTTCGAAAGCATAGTGCCAGTCATTTAACACGGTCAGTAGCTGACCGACAGTCAGTACATAGTTGACCGACATAATTGGAAGTCTACTGCATTTTATCTGACTGAGCTGACTGTAGCACCAACAGAAAGAGTACGCATCGAACGAGAAAGGAACGATTATTGAAAATAAAAATGATTACCACCTAGGGACACAACTCACCCAGTCGCGTCTCCGAAGATCGCACTCTAGGCTGGTCGGTCTAGACGAGGTCGGTCGGTATGTGCAGACCTTTTTAGTTACTTGTTGCCAACTACACTGTGCAGGTGGTGCCACAAACATCAGGTGCACCAGCAGCACCATTAGTGGCACCAGTCGACCACCACCACCACACGTCATTGTAGGTCGCATGGCCGCTGCGTTTCACCACTCAGGAACAGAATCCATCGGCTTGTAACCTGCAGTGACACAGCGTGACCTTCAATGGCCTGCAGTGACCTCAACTGACTTGCAGTGACCTCCGGTGACCTGACATTACTTGCGATGGCCTTCAACGACCCTCAATGTCCTTATGTTACTTACAATGAACCACCTTCAATGACCTGAAATGACTTCCAATGCCCTGCAATGACCTCCATGGATCTTCAATGGCCTGCGGTACTCAAAAGCTCTCAGTGACCGTCCCCAGGCCCCTCACGATGGCCCAGTCGTACGTCGACTGCGCACTGCCAGTAGCGACCGATGGTCGAACCGGGGAAGTTGACTATCTCTGAACACGTCACCACCGACATTCGCTTCCTCTGTGCCGGTTTGGACGGTCTGCATGGTAAAACACCCACCGGTGCGGGACGTGGTAGGTGGTATTATGATTACTATTTTGTGGATGTGAGAAAAGCCTTGCTTGAGGAACGACCCCTTGATAACTAAGCTACGACAAGTGCTGTTTTAGCCAGCAACAATCGTGCCTGTGTTGAGATAAGGGGAGCCCGGGCTCGGAGTTTGCATCTCGAAGTGCAAAGGATGCACCAATGAGGCATGGGTCCGCACCCAATTCCTTCAGTACTGCAAGCCATTTCTGGCGGCGAAAAACCTCAGCGGAAACCTGAAGATGATGAGCAAGGCTTTCATCAAAGGATGAGGATAGATTCAAAAATTATCGTGTCACCCGATGAGACCGCGATAAATTTCCATACAACAATCGGTCGGAAGCGCATGTAAGGGATGATTACGGAGCGAGCGAAGCGAGCGTAGTCTTTCCTTAGATTAACGGAAATTTCTGAGTATGAGCGGCCGGCCGGCCGGCCGGCCGGCCGTGGTCACGCTTTTGCGAGGCTTATATCTCAGCAACCACTTGACCGATTTACATGCGGTAATTTTTGTAGGATAGCTTCATTCCTTCTACCAAGTATTGGACTATTCCCGATGCATGTGGGTGACCCCTTATGCACGTGCCACGTGCAAAACGAAGAGGTGTCCGTTTTGTAATTGTTGCAATATCTCGGTAACTACTTGGCCGATTGCGCTGAAAGTTGGCATGTAGGTAGGCACCCACTAGGCACTGCATATCCATGTGCCAGAGTTGGGGCGCTGCTGCACGTGCGCACGTGCAGGGGTCGATTCCAGATCTCGAGAACGGCTGGACCGATGGCGCTCAAATTTGGCACATGGTTAGGGACCGGTTAGTAGGGTGCCGTGCAAAAGTCAGTTGGGCCCCATTTTGCACGTGCGCACGTGCAGGGTGCCGCTTCCAGATCTCGAGAACGGCTGGGCCGATTGTGCTCAAATTTGGCACATCGCTAGAGACCGGTTAGTAGGGTGCCGTGCACAAGTTAGTTGGGGGTACCCCCTCGCAATTTCGCACGTGCAAGGCCCACCCTCTCGCTCGCTCCGTTAGTCGCCCCAAAAGGCGTTATACTGGTTATGGAAGCTGTGACTTTCGCATTGTTTTTTTTTTCACTTTTAGTTGGTGCGCTAGTCAAGTGTTATCTTCAGCATTTTTTATATATTTTGTGTACTGTTGTAGTATGTGTTATTGGTGGTTGCATTGTTGGTAGGCATGTACGATTGTAGCTCAATTGTTAAAAAATAGAGTCAGAGGATGACATGTGATGTCGGTATACCACTTTGCATGAACTGGACATGAGCAGCATAGATATCTTGTGAGCAGTTATCAATTAACTTTTTTTTTGAATACATGATGCCGTTGACGTGCTACAGGTTAACATTCTTGCATGAACAGTTCGATGTCTAGATCAAATGTCACCGATGAATCAGAAAAGTTTGACGTTACACAAGTATTCTAATAAATCATGGTGGGGCAGCCTTATGCCATTTGAAGTTCGAAATCGTTTCAGCAGCAGTGTAAATATGGCAGAGGGCCGCCGGAACTAGAACTACCCTCACGTGTACGGGAATGAGGGACTGAAATTCCACAAGGGGACCGAAATTTCTCTCCTCAGTCTTGGTTTAGCAGTACGAAGCACCAGTAATGAAGACAGAGTTTATAATCTGCATATGACATGAACTGCGAAGTGGATTAGATCACAAACACTTTATAATAATGAGTAACTTTATAATAAAAGACTAATAGTAATGAGTCACAAACACTGAGTCCGTTTTTTTCTATCTGACCAGGCCATCTGACCTACAGTAACTTGCCATAAGCTTTTACAATAGGTGCCAAAAATTCCCTGTGTATTTGCTTCCCCAAACACGTGCCTCATATAATTATATTACAAGGTGAAATGCGTGAAAAGCGTTTAACTACCCACACAAGTCACCTCTACTGATTCATGTTTAAGTGAACATTTGTACGACCATTCTGTTTCACGCGTTTCCTTGCGTACCGTCGACAATAACTCACGCAAACACCGCTACCACACCAACTCTTCCAGCGGGCGTTTGTATTTGAACGTCTCACGACATCACGCAAAGGTCCCTGCCGCACCTCCGCTGGGCAGGGCGGACCCCAGCAATAAACACGAACACGCACAAATCACCATGGCAACGGGGAAATACAGCGACTCGGTCCCCGAAGGCCCCGGCGCAACCACGACAATCCCCGGGACCGCCAAACATTGACCATTGGCACTGAGCTCGAGCTCAAGTATATATGTACACCAAATCAGCTGGATTACACGCAAGCTGTGTGCTTTTACCCGCCATTATATCAAGCAGAAAGCACGATCAATAAACTTCTAGCATACTCGATCTACAGTTGCCAAGCGCTGCTTTCTAGCGTCTACTTAGCACGATGGGGCAGAGCTGACCTCGTGCCGGGTCAGGTGACGACCCTCTGGGCGCGTTGTGACCTGTAGGTCATTGCTGGGTGTCTCCAGGAGGAGTCGGTAGCGGGTACGGGCTGGTGTAGGTTGCCACAAACGTACGGATCTCCATGGGGTTCAGTGTGACCTGTGGAACACGCAGAGGTCGGCCGGTTGTCAGAGTCGGGTTGTAGTCACAGCACTCCATGGCTTGAGCTAAAGGCTGCGGAGTAGTGAAATGAATAAAATAATAAAATAAAAATATTAAAATATAGCCGTTGATTTTCCGAAAAATTGATAGCATATTTTCAACATAAACTGACGTTGAAGTTGATTTCATGAACTAGATACACGAATAAAGTAAAATAAAATATAAGGTACCTGTCATACGTTATCTTACATTCATTGGTACTACACTAATACGTAGATGCCGCTCTAGCAGAGTTGCCGTCTTTGAGCACACAGCATGCTAGCAATTACATTACACACGTTTTAGACAACTCATTTACGATAAGTCGACCTTCTGGATCACGTCGAGGCTCGAGCCCTGTGTGGTTTTCCTTTTAAATATAAGCTGAGTTTAAATAGACTATAGATATGTAGTTGAGCTAAATAGTTGGTGAAAATAGAATAAAACACTTGATGTAACCAACTAACCAAAAAGACCAAAAATCTCGCAATCTCACGCCACTACCGCCAGACAAACAGGACTGTAGCAACATGGCGGAACTGACCGTCAGCGGGTCGGCCTCGGCCTCTGTGTTCCTGTAGGTCTCCTGAGCCGTGCGGCGGAAGTTTTTCGGCATGCTGTTGGACTTGTCGTGGTCCCAGTGGAAGCGGTTGATGTCACTCAGAGGCCGGTCGGCAGACAGACCGTACTCGACGACTGAGGTGATGTTGAGGGTCGTGAACAGGTCCTGGAGGGGGGTGACCAGATGAGCAGGTGAACATGTCAATAAGGTAACAGATGAGCAAATTGACGCATGATCAGTTGATATATGAAGAGATAAACTGGTGAACCGATGGGCAAATGAATGCGTGATCGTACAAACAAGTGAACAAGAGTGAACAAAGGTGAATAACTAAGTATGCAAACGAATGAACGGTCCAGATGAATAGACCGGTAATAAGGGCATGGCGTGAAGCATCTATGGACTGCAATTAACGATTTAGTGACTTGTATAAACGGAAACCCATTAAAAGAAGCTCAGCATTGCTCACAGGCGGTGACCACTTGATCAATACATTTCCAACTTTCCACCCTAACCACAACTTCCCACTCGAGGTCCAGACACAATGCGTTAGGCTTCGAGACTTCCCATCCCGGTACCTTCCCCGGCCCCGATCCACTGACCTGAATGTTGACATCGACAGGAGAAATAAACTAAATAAATGTCTTACACCACCTACCTTCCCCGACCCCAGCACTCACTGACCTGAATGTTGACATCGACAGGAGAAATAAACTAAATAAATGTCTTAGATTACACCACCTACCTTCCCCGACCCCAGCACTCACTGACCTGAATGTTGACATCGACAGGAAAACTGAACTAAATAAACGTCTTACATTACACCACCTACCTTCCCCGACCCCAGCACTCACTGACCTGAATGTTGACATCGACAGGAGAAATAAACTAAATAAACGTCTCACACCACCTACCTTCCCCGACCTCGGCACTGACCTGAATGTTGACATCGACAGGAAAACTGAACTAAATAAACGTCTCACACCACCTACCTTCCCCGACCTCGGCACTGACCTGAATGTTGACATCGACAGGAAAACTGAACTAAATAAACGTCTCACACCACCTACCTTCCCCGACCTCGGCACTGACCTGAATGTTGACATCGACAGGAAAACTGAACTAAATAAACGTCTCACACCACCTACCTTCCCCGACCTCGGCACTGACCTGAATGTTGACATCGACAGGAAAACTGAACTAAATAAACGTCTCACACCACCTACCTTCCCCGACCTCGGCACTCACCTGAATGTTGACATCGACAGGAAAACTGAACTAAATAAACGTCTCACACCACCTACCTCCCCCACCCCCTGCACTGACCTGAATGTTGACATCGACAGGAAAACTGAACTAAATAAACGTCTCACACCACCTACCTTCCCCGACCTCGGCACTGACCTGAATGTTGACATCGACAGGAAAACTGAACTAAATAAACGTCTCACACCACCTACCTCCCCCACCCCCTGCACTGACCTGAATGTTGACATCGACAGGAAAACTGAACTAAATAAACGTCTCACACCACCTACCTTCCCCGACCTCGGCACTGACCTGAATGTTGACATCGACAGGAAAACTGAACTAAATAAACGTCTCACACCACCTACCTCCCCCGACCTCGGCACTGACCTGAATGTTGACATCGACAGGAAAACTGAACTAAATAAACGTCTCACACCACCTACCTTCCCCGACCTCGGCACTGACCTGAATGTTGACATCGACAGGAAAACTGAACTAAATAAACGTCTCACACCACCTACCTTCCCCGACCTCGGCACTGACCTGAATGTTGACATCGACCGGCAGACTGAGCTCGACATCCTCCCCGGTTTCGAACTGGTGCTCCAGCCGCAGCAGCAGCCGGTCTGGTTTGTACATCTCCAGTGTCAGGAGGTGAACGTTGGCGGGCAGCGGCTTCATACCGGTGAACTAGAACGGAGAGGGAAGGCTGGGTGAAGCTGGCGGTACGGGGTCAGAACAGAGATTGGGAATTGTATGCCTAGAAGCTTGGTATTCCGCATGTCGATATACCGGTTTTAACTTATTCTTTCTTTCGTATGTTCCAGAATTGCCTTAGATCAAACATCATCGTTCTATGTACCAGCTTCAACTCCCAATTGCAATAAAACCATATCATCCGTCATATTCTTCAAATCCAGCTTTCATATCTCCCCAATCTTTTCCCAGAGTATCTTACTTCAACATCATATTCTCTGATGTTCAAGCACTATAATTTAATGAATAAATAAATAAATGCTTCCCCAGTCTTCCCTCACCTGTTTGACCACCGTGTCACTGTTCCACATGTCCAGCGTCATGCCGTTGGCGCTGGCGAACGTCAGCTGCGGCGCCATGAACATCTGTTCGGCCAGGTCCCGGTGAAGTCGGGGAGCGTCTCCGACGGCACTGGCTACCAGCCAGTGCCGGCCTCTGACCACCATACCAACTCCGAACTCCGTCTCGTTGAGAGGCTCACCGACTCCGAACTGGTCGTCCTGGACGGTACGACGGTGCAGCTGTAGATAGGGGGGAGGGGGAGAGATAAGAGGTCACTCAATTACTCACGTGCTCTACATACCTATTTACATATATACTAGGGTGTGTCATCGAGGGGGTGATTCTCGCAGAATCAAACGCCGTAAGGTTTTTCCTTGGCACATTGATCAATAATGAATTTTCATCCATATCCGAGTCCACCAAAATTAAAATTCGTGCGGCGCCAGCCGTTCAAAGTTTTGGCGCCCGGCGTTGCAGTCTCCAATGCTGAGCGTCGCCCAGCACTGCGAGTAACACCAAGTATTGCAGCAGGTAATAATGCAAAATAACTACCGCTGAAAATGATGCTTTTGAGCGCTTCTAAGGCTGGTTGTTGCAAAGAGCATGTCATTAGAGTGTCCAATTACTGTTTTTATTGTGCTCAATGAATTAAATCGAGCATTGCTACTGAAACTAAAGAAAAAACTGCCCGATTTTGAGAAGCGGGCGGGGTGGAGGCGGAGACGGGAAGCGACTCAGATTCGTCTTCTGAAAACACCGACTCCGTGGCATCCTCTGGGCGGTGCTTCTTCTTCTTCTTCTTCTTCAGCATGTCATCTCGTGTGACCTGGCCCGTCTCCACCAGGAAGTCCCGGATGAGTCCAGCCTCGGTGGAAAGGATCTCCCTCAGCGTCGGCAAAGGGCCCCACGGGCGGGTCCGTGGCCCCTGGTAGGCGGGGTAGTCGACCAACAGGTGTTTGGCCGAGTCCGGTTCGTCGCAACGGACTTTCTCGTCAGACTCGGCCGGACCAAGTCGGAATCGGGTGTCTCCGGTGAGTGGGGAGCAGCTCACGCGGAGCTGTGCCACTGTGATCTGGTATGGTATGGTATTGATCCTAGATGGTTTCGTAGCTACCTGACTGGTCGACGGCAGGTGGTGAGAGGTGGTTCCTTGTCCTTGCCTCTTTCCCATGGGGTTCCGCAAGGTTCCCTAGTCGGTCCCATCCTCTTCAGCATCTTCACAAATGACCTTCCATCCTATCTTCCTCACGGTCGCCTCATCTCCTACGCCGACGACACCCAATTACTTGACTCGGCCCGTCCTAAAGATCTATCCATCCTTAAATCCCGACAGGAGGATACCCTCCGTGCTGTCCTCTCCTACTTCACATCCAACTCCTTAAAAATGAACCCATCCGCTCCACTCTGCTCCTTGTCGGCACTGCCCAAAACCTTAAGAAAACCTCATCCTTCCACCTTAACCTGCCAGGCTACTTACTAACACCCTCGCCATTTGTGAAGATGCTGGGAGTGACCCTAGACCCCACCTTATCCTGGGAAAACCACATCTCCAACGTTGTCAAAAAGTGCAATTCCATCCTTATATGTCTGTATAAAATTCGCCATCATCTCAGTCCCGACATCCTTAACACGCGCACTGCAGCGGGTCTGAGCCGAACACGAACTGCAGGGGGGGGGGGTTGAAAACAACCCCCCCTGAGATCTTGAAAACGGCGCAACGTAGCGACAAGCGGTAAACGGCGTTGGATAGGTTAAGATGAGATCGACAAGAAATACTAAGATCATTTTTGGGTCAGGTCAAAAACGAGGTCACCAGAGGTCACCGAAGACAAAATGTTACGATTTTCACAACAGGAATTTCGCGGTAGTTTTTCTTGAATAACTTGTCTTGCACACAAGACAGAGGATCGATTCGAACGCCATCGTTCTTAGCTCGTCAAGGCGCATCGAATGATATATAATATGACCTCGAAAGGTCAAGTTGAAAATTTGACCTCAGGTCAAGGTCATGACCTGACCGAAATAGGTCATGTTGCATATCATTCGATCCGCATTGACGAGAAAAACACGATAAACGTCGAACGGAGTCTCTATCTCTACTCAATCTCAAGTTATTGAAGAAAAACCGCTGGTGACCTCAGGTGACCTAAGATGACCTGGAGATCACCTTCCAAAGGTTATAAGTGATATGTTTCGGTGAAATCACCAACAGGGACCTGTAATACTATGATCCTGAGCGTATTGAAGTCATAGGATGGCATTCAGAGTAAGTTGAAATTTCTCCCATTGACTTATAATGGGCCGGTCGCAAAAATGACCTGACCTTAGGTCATCGATATAAAAATTCCGAGATATACAAGTTGTAGCTCGTGATGACTTTACTATTTCCTGTGGGTTTCAAGATCATATCTCAACAACTGTGGGCTTGGTGGGATTGCAAACTTCGAAATTTACGTTTCGAGGTAGGGTCACTTGACCTGACCTGGTGACCTGACCATAGGTCACCTGGGGTCAAAATTTTTACTCAAGGTGTGCAAAAGTTGTGAGAACAGGTATGCAAAATTTGGCGGCGCTACGCGCCGC